CCAGCCTTCCTTATCGTTTAGGTACTCGTCCACAGAAATCCGGTTACGAGTGACATGGGCACGAAAGTACGCGATTATCTTATCGCCGCCTGTGTCACTACCTGGGCCTGCACAACCTGCACCTGTGCGTGCGCCTGCGTCTGCGCATGTACCTGTACAACCTCCACCTCCACACTGGGTCCCCACACGCCGTTCTTCTGTTGGCATTCTTCCCCTCGTGGTTCTTCTGCTCTGGCAATCAGTATTCCTGCTGCCAGTGTCCTCGGTATCCTTCCTCTGCTCTCGGCCGCCTCGACTCCCCTTGACGGTGCCATCGGCGTCGGTATTCAACCTCGACATACCTCATCAGCTTGAGCCAGGCCATCCCTCCGCCTACTACGCTATCCATCACCAATCGCCACCATTCACAGTCTCGCGCTGCGGCGGCACCCCTCACCTGGCTCCCAGACCCTGGCACATGCCCGACATTACCCACCACCAGTTCCACACCCGCCGCCCTTTGACAGAAGGCAGTGAGCGAGTGCTGCGACGAGCATCTCAGACGCAGAATCCAGGCTTCCCAGCGCATACCAGCGCACATCATCGCCCGCCGGACCCCTGCGAAAGAGCCATCCCTCGCTTGATTCGCCAGACCGCCAGATCGCCAACCCCCGTCCAAGTCAACACTGCGACTCTTGACCTCCAACCTTCGGCTCAATCAGGAGCTTGACTTGACCCCCCCTCTTCCCCAATCTGTCGTTCCCTTGGCCTGTCCAGCACCACCCCCTCCATCGTCGAACTCGGGTCTTATCCAGTCTTGCCGGCAACAACCTTCATCTGCTGCTGGCCTTGGTTCTCGCACTATTGCATGCCATCAGCTCAGCCCTTCGACAACCCATCACACACTGCGAGCCGAGTCAATAGATTACGCCGCACAATTGAAACGAAAACCAGCCCCTCCTCTTCCGCCGCCTTTATCACCGCCTTCCCCTCCTATCGCGCCATTGCGCTGCCCCTCGCTGGGCTGCTGAGTCAACCACCCGGACGACTACGCCAGATTCGACCTGACGTGACCGGGCCCCTCCTCTAGTCACTGTCTGCAACCCGTTCTCGGCCCCTCTGTGGTAAACCACCATCTTTTACGACTCCCATCACTGCAGATTGCCCTCGTGCCATCACGCTTCGCGTCTCTTCTTCGCCAGCATGCCCTCTACCGAGCATCGCCACGTGCGCTCCGGCAGTCTCAACATCACGCCGCAAAACGGCCACCCGCCCAACATGCCCTCCGCCGCCCCGCGCTTTGAGGGGGGTCCTCGCAGTCCTCCTAGTATGTGACTTGCCTGCAATTGACCCGCCACGACGCACCGCTTACCCAGACACAGACACTTCTCACGTTCCATGCAAGTTCTTCCGCCAGGGCGCTTGCCAGGCTGGCAGCGCGTGCCCTTTCAGCCATGACTTGGGTGCTTCGGCTGAGACCATTTGCAAATATTTCGCCAAGGTCTGTTCGAGGTAGACCCCACCAACTCCGTCGCTGTACACTGACTTGAGTGTGAAAGGGCAATTGCAAGTTCGGTCCCAAGTGCGCCAATATTCACATCCTACCCGACGGGCGCCGCATCAACTACGGGAAGAATGGAGTTACGATCGGCACAGCTCCGATAGCCCTCGGTGGCGCCCGAGGCAACCCTCCGACCTCAACCCCATACCACCCCTCCACCACCAGCGCCTTGACTTCGGGTCTCTATCGCGACGGCGTGCCCGCCTACACGTCTGCATACCCGTACGGCGACGATAGACAGCACCACCTCGGCCGTCAGCCCAGCCTCGACAACGGCCTACCAACCATCGATACCACCTACTCCTCTTCACACCCCGGCTCACAATATGGCTCACCGCGCGACGAAGATGCCTCCAGGTTGGGCCTTGGTCTTTCGCCGGTCAACGTCAACGGTCTCTCTGTACTCGATGCTCCTCTCCCTGCCTCTTTCGACTCACAGGGCATCTCCAACGCTGCGCGCTACCCTGCCGCGCCGTGGCCTTCCTCCGTTCCCTCCAAATTTGGCCTCGAGTCGCCGACTCCGTCTCTCAGCAATGCCAAGGACGACCGAACTTCGGAGACTCTCAAGAGCTTGCACACCTCTGCGTTTGGCAGCAATGAATATCTTTCAGCTTCCAATGCAGGCCTCGGCAGCAGCCCGCCCAGCCACCCCGTCGGCGAGGAGTACTTTGGACGCCGGACTATGCACTCGAGCCGCTTCGCGAAGCCCAAGATGTTGAGTGCCAGCCTTCCCAAGGCGGCTGTGGATCGCGATTGGGATGCTGAGTTTGCCTTCCTTGAGGAGGATTACGTCCCCCATAATCTCCAAGAACTCCTAACACCTGCGGAGAAGGCCCGACGCGGATCCATTCGCGCAATTGACAGCGAACCCGGCAGCGAGAATGCAACCAAGTTTGGCAGCCCCCTCGCGGGTGCAAGTCCCAGCCGTTGGGGTCCTTTGTTCCAGCGCCAGAAGGAGGAGGAGTTGGAGAGTCGTAGCTTCAGCAAGGCCTCGGCTTTTGGCCACGTTGGTAGCCCATTGCGCAATTCGGTCCTCTCCAACGAGATGAGCAACGGTCTCAATGGAGCAGGGCGCCACACTCCAGGCAGCCGCTCCGGCAGCGACACGACTTCTGCTCTCACCCAGCAGCTTTCGCGAACGCGCCTCGCTGACGATGGAAACGGTAGCCCTCGCCTCCACCCCATGATGGCTGCTGGAAGAACCGTCAGCAACGGCGCGGGTGCGATTGGCAAGGAGCGTGGTTCGGCCATTGAACGTCACATCTCCAGTGGTTCCATCGGATCATCCGGACGTTTCACAACCCCGATCGACGAAGAGGATCCAGCTTTCGTCTTCAACATGGAGGAGGACAGCGACGAGCAGCAGGCAGCCCGGCAGAGGAAGCGCATCTCAGCAGGACTCGGCATGGGAGGCGGCGGCAGCGGCTGGAGCTACGCCGGTGTCTTGTCCGCCAAGACTGTCGCTCCGGGTTCAAGCCTCGCAAAAGAGTCGCGCGAGCCATCTGTCACAGTGGAGACTGTGGGCGGACGGTAAGAGGTGGGATATCAGCATAGCGGAGAGGGCATCTCATTTCCGGCGTTCTTCCACAGCATCGGGCGGTCAGCAAAGTCTCCCCTTCCTGTTCCGCAATCAGCCCAGCAACAATCTTTTGCCACGATTTGAGACGACATCACTTTTTGGTTTCAACTCCCCAAGGCATCGGCAGACCCTCCAGATAACGGGTTACGGAAAAATACACGACATGGTCTTCAAAAAGATGGGAAAGCAAGGAATCGGATTTGGACAAGACAGGCGGCGGCTGCAATCTTGGGTGATATGGAGTATGTTGGCGTTTTGATTGAGATTTTGGCACGGTTGCGTAATATACAGTACTTTCGGTCAAGGTGGCTTTTGGATAGTTCATGCGGGGCGAGCATCATGTTAAATACGAGATCCAAGACAAGATTCTGTTATGCAAGCTTTAGGGTTGTTCGTGTGCTTCATGTCCTCACAAACTAATCTCTCCTCTTCAATCAGAAGGTAAAATAACAACCAAGCTTGACGTTTGTAGATATCCGTGAACTGGTGTGAGCCGTAAAGATCTTGATCATCACGGCGTGGCACATTCACACGTCATAATACCTCACAGTACGAGGCTCAAGCAGGCGGTAAAAGTCTATACACTATACAAGGCTCGCTACCCTCCAAGGCCAGCTTACCACGACGTCTCACGTGCCAGCTGCCTTCGTGAACGCCATCTCCATGCTCTCGGCCTCCGTGCTCCGATATTCGGGCTGCACGAGTTGCCGAGGCAGTACACCTGACTACTGCGAGTGGCGTGGTCCATCATCCCGATTCCGTAGGCAGGCAGGTATTATACATCCGCTCGTCGTCCTCTTCTCGTCAAACTCTGGTCTTTCAGGTGCTAGCAACAGGTTGAGCATTTACTGGGCATCGGGCTGGCTGAGGATGTATTCCACGGCCTTCTCAACTGCGGGGATTTATTAGCTGAAGCGCTCCTGTGTCAAACTGCACGGCGCGAGGCCAATGCAGCGCCGAAGATGGAACGTACCCGAGTGGATGCCATCGGCGTCCTTGTCCGGGATCTCAATGCTGAACTCCTCCTCGATGGCCATGACAACCTCGACGGTGTCCAGGCTGTCGAGGCCGAGGTCGTTGGCGAAGTGCGCCGTCGCGTTGATCTGTTGAGATTAGCCTCCGTCGACGATACTGTCTCCTCTCCCACATCGACCTGGCGGCATTCGTATCCCAATGCATTCTTCTTCTCTCACTTGCGCGGCCTCGACGTTCTTCGGATTCAGGGGGTACCCACGTTCTTCGGGTCGTTGACCTTGTCGAATCCGGCGAGCAGGGTGCTGATCCTCGTGACAACCTCCTCCTTGGCCAGGGCACCACCGGCCGAGTACATCCTGATGCCCATGGGCTTCCACGCCGCGGCGAGTCGGGGAGTGACGGTCTGGCGGAGGACGGGGGCGCGCATGGCGGCAGGGCGGGCGACGCGCGCAGCGGCGCTGGCGGAGCGAAGGATGGCGGTGCGGAACATTTTGAGGCAGGATATCTCGAGATGTGGAATGGTAGGAGGTCGTGGATGGATGGACGGCGGATAAATCGGGCGGAGGCGATGGATGGCGATGACAACACGGGCGATTGGACCTTGGAGCTTGTTCGAATGATGATAAATTCTTCGCCCGGGCAGTCGAGGTCACCCGAGTCACGTGCAGCTCACCACCCATTGCCGGAGCAGCAGCTCCCCAAAGCTATCACGTGATCCAATCGACCGGCCCCCGCCAGCCAATCAATCCCCGGTAGTTGTAATCCCGCAAAAGAATCCAGCCAACAATCCATCACGTCAAGCAACCACCACAAGCTCGCCTCCCTCTCCCGACTTCACCACCCTCAACCCCTCCCATTGGCGTTCGAACTTCCCCTCCTCCGGCGTCCTACCGACTATACAACACAATGGCGCCGGCAGCTCGACCATTGACCATGTTCGCCGCGACATCGACTCGTGCACTGGCTCGCTCGGCTGCGGTCAACCCGGCCCTCGCAAACCGACTTCTCGCGGCCGCTGCCGTTCGCGGCTACGCCACCCCTTCGGGCCCGCCGCCCAAGAACTTCCGTCAGGCGCCTTACCTGCGATGGAACGAGGAGAAGGAGAGCACTCTGGACCGAATGGGACGATACTTCCTCCTGACCGAGATGTTCCGCGGCATGTACGTGCTCATGGAGCAGTTCTTCCGCCCGCCCTACACCATTTTCTACCCTTTCGAGAAGGTACGCAGCGCGCCATCGATTGACAAACCGAACTATATCCTAAAGTATTGTCGAGACTAACGCCAAAGTAGGGTCCCATCTCCCCCCGGTTCCGCGGTGAGCACGCCCTCCGCCGATACCCCTCGGGCGAGGAGCGCTGCATCGCCTGCAAGCTCTGCGAGGCCGTTTGCCCGGCGCAGGCCATCACCATCGAGGCCGAGGAGCGCGCCGACGGCTCCCGCCGCACGACCCGCTATGACATTGATATGACAAAGTGCATCTACTGCGGCTTCTGCCAGGAGTCGTGCCCCGTCGACGCCATCGTCGAGAGCCCCAACGCCGAGTACGCCACCGAGACTCGCGAGGAGCTCCTGTACAACAAGGAGAAGCTGCTGAGCAATGGTGATAAGTGGGAGCCCGAACTGGCTGCCGTTATCCGCGCCGACTCGCCCTACCGGTAAAAATGGTGCTTGTCAGAGAGCGTGGTGTCGGTGGGGAGAAGACTCGGGTCGTAGGTGGACGAGATGGAGGCAAAGAGACAGGCCGGCATGTGCCCGGCACGGAAAGAGATTGACGTGGAGCTGAGGATGGCTACGAAACTGAGCCGTGTATACAGCTAGAGCGAGGCGTGTGTACATATCATCTGTTTTTTTTGTTTCTGACGGCGCGAAGAATACACTGGTTGCAGTTCGCCCATGGCGCTTGATAAATGCCGTGTATGGCCATGTGGTAAAGAATCTATAAGAGCACGAAGTTGCCGCCAATATGCACCTCAACGAGTCGGAGGAGACGAAAGACGATTGGAACGCTACAACTAGCTATACTCTGCGACGACATGGAGCACGACGTCAGTAACCCTTGGAACTACGATGCAACCAGAGATGGCCACGACCGATGGAACGATCACGCTGCCACTCGATTCGCAGCCTCTTTTTCATAGCCCAAGGCTTATGCGCAACCGCAGCAAGGTTTTATATGCTCGATGCATCGGAAGCCCCTAAATACGGCAAGACCGAATGGCGAGGGTGTTGAGAAGCAGGGAAGCAAAACAAAAGTTCCCTTTATTCATGGGCTTCCACTTCGTGCCAGATGGGGGAGCGGGACCAAGAAGTTAACTGGATGTCCCGCAAAAGGCTGATCTATGGAGCATCACAGCTTGTCGGATAGATCTCTTTCAGACCACGAGCTCTGGCCATGAGGCTGCTACAGTATTGTCTATTTCCATGGTCCTGCACAGGCTCTGTTTGGAGGCCTTCTCGACTTCGTCACGCATCTGCGACACAAGACGCCAGAGCTCGATGCCGCATGATCCGCCTCTGTCAACAGGGCATGGAAGAAATCGCTCTGTCATCCCCGACCAGTATGCCAGCTTCTACAGCCTGAGCATCCGCCTCAGCTTGTGGATATCCGTATCAGTCAAGCATCCCTTGTCGGCTCCCAAGATCCATTTTGAGTACGAATACTGTCAAAATCTGCCTGGTGTTCATTCGTAGTCCTTGTCTTCGGATCATGTCCTTGAGTTCTGTTCAGCCTGATGTGAGTCAAAGGCTTGCTCGCCTTCCCTGCAGCTGGATGATCGCGCTTTTGGAGCAGGCCTCTGTGATGACTGTTGCCTTGCTCGCTTTCAGCGTCTGTAAGCTCAGACCTTCAAGCCCAGCTTAATCGTCGTCACCTGCTCATTGTTGGCTCGGGCTCCTTCAGCGATGATGTTCGGGTAGCTTTTTTTGTATCAGTCTTGCCGGTCATCATATTGTAGACTTCCGGTCCACACTAGAGGGATCGGGTTGACAATCGAAAGGCAAGATGATCGGCTTTACTCTCAAGGCGGCTCGATTCCCGAGTGGCTGAGCTCCTCCAATATATTTGGCTTCCATATCTCTTATCTCTTGCTTCTTGGTCTCGCTCGGTCTCGCTCGGTATCGCTTCTCATCCCATGCTTACCAGAAAGGTGATGTCGTGGCACAGGTGATAGTTTCATTGGTCTGCCATCGTCGTCCGTGCACCAGACTGGTAACACCAGACATGAGAGCGATGCAACACGATGGAACTACAGCCTTACATCTAGCCGCCCTATGTCTCAGTCGCATTGATATGCTTTTCTTTGCTCCTTTCGGCGCCTCCAGGGGCAAGATTTTGCAGCATCTATATGATAGCCATTTTTGCCCAAAAAAAATTGCCGAAAGGACCCATGTCGAATTAGCGTTCGCCAAATCTCCAAAAGACATTTTGAAGCTGCCTAATCGGCGGGAAAACCCCTTATCGGTGAAGCAGGCCGAGTAGCGCCACCACCAAAGACGTTGAAGCCCGAAGCAAGAATTTGACGCCAACAAATCCAGATGCCGGGGGGGCACCGGCCGTCTTCCCAGCCGCCCAGCCGCCGCCCGTTGTAGCCAGGGCGTTCATACATAGGCCACGAAAGCATTGTGCCGCATGTCAAGTGAGTGAATTAACTAGGCTGACATAGTGACGTGCAAACCAGGCGAAGGAACATAAATCCAATCGACTACTTCACATCATGACCCCAGCCGGAGGCTTTGACGGTGGCCGTGACGATGTGCGCGCTAGAATGCCATTATACCTTGACCGAGCATTATTCGCACTGCTCTGCAGTTTCTCAGACGCCCCTATCAGACATTGAGTTTAAGACTAACTACAAATAGGTCGTCCTCCATATTAAAACGGCAGGCGCGCCAGAAGCATGACCCGCCTCGTTGTGACAGAAACGCGTGGATACAGAGAAGATTCGATTCAAAGGCTAACGGAAAGCAGTGCACGGAGATTCATTGCAGGCATACTGGAGGTTCATCAACCCTCAGAAGAGAGAGACCCACCAAATCACCCCTAGCCATGGCTATTCACGCTATTCCAGGGACATCTCGCATCAGAATAAGGTTTGGTAGTCAGTCGCCAGTCCACAGTTGAACAACCCCTGGTCAAAAACACGTTGCCTCCCGTCCCGGCCGAGTAAGGTATGCCAGACCACAGCTGAGCTCTCTGGGCAAGGGTCCAAAGTCAAACACCGTGCCTGAGGGGCATGTCCGTGGTCACTACAGGTTCCCACGGCTTTGGAAACAATCAATTGGAGCAACAACGCGCAGCACCATTCGCCACGGACGGTCTTAATTCCCTTGGCACGTTGACATAGGTCTTCTGTCGTCGAGCGACCTGTCTGTCGTTCACCGTCCAAATGGAGTTGAACCAGATATTCATTGAGTTATCGAGCCGTTCGACAAGATGGTGGCCATCATACTGTGTGGCTATGAAGTCCTTGTACCTACCATTTCTCATAGAGTACCGCCTTTCGTTATTCCTGGCTGAATCGGAAGTCGGCATGTGCTCAGGTTCTTTGTCGGATCTTTCCAGGAACCCAGTTCAAAATGGCGCTTGTCCAAAGAATGCTGTTCATCCAGTACATCAGATGGGCCGTCGCATGGCAAATAGCTACACATTTTCGGTATCCCCGTAGAGACCTCGTTACGTAGAGCCACCGGTGCAAATCCTCGCCGACAGCCCCTCGCGTATACGCAAAGCCTAACCTAACCCTTGTTACCCGCTGGATCCCCGCCCACGCTTGGCTCAAAGAGGTATATAATCCCTTCCCATCTAAACGCTAAGAGGCGACCAGGCACTCGAAGTCGAGCCCGCTTAAGACTGGGGATACGATGTACCCCTGGCGGGTAGACCGCAGCGCCTGGTGTATCATGTATAGCTGATTCAAGAGTAGCTGATTCAAGGCGACGGACGACGGACGAACGTCCGGGTCAGTGCTCTACAGTAGGCTTCGTGTCAGAGACTCAAGATGTCAGGCCCCCTGGTTTATGCAGTGACTTTTCGGACCCTTTTCCAGATTTGAGGATGAGAAATCTTCCGAATGGAGCTCCCTTTGTTAGCATAACGAGGAACTGCTCGATGAAAAGCCAGCTGAACCCCCGGCTTTCGGGTGGCGTTCGCCATGTAGCCAGACTTGTCTGCCCAACGTCTTTCCTTGTGTCGCTTCTTACTCTTTCTGGTATCTCATATTGTTCCATTGACGAGACTCAAATTCCAACTATCTCTGCATTGGTCGTGGCGTTGTTGATAGTATGCTCACGCCGTTTCTGGAAGCTGTCGTAGCCGTGGCGGCCCTAGCAAACCCCGTCTTTGCAAAGAGCTCTGCCGGCCTTAACATCTACTGGGGCCAGTTTGGAGATCAGACCGATCGGTTGGCCAGCTACTGCGATGTGACTGGCGTCACCTCCGTCACGTTGTCTTTTGTCAACAAGTCACCAAGATATGGAAACGGATATCCTGGGATCAACTTTGCTGGTCATTGTGGTTCCCATTGCGGTGATGAGGAGTTCTACATTAACCCAGACAACGGCGGCAACACGGCACTCATCATGAACTGCGACACGATTAAGGAAGATATTCGATACTGCCAAAGCAAGGGCAAGAGAATCATACTGTCGGTTGGCGGACACTGCAAAAGCGCGCCCTGTGGTTATGATGTACTAGGAGAAAACGAGGCCGAGGCCTTTGCCAAGCAGCTTCACTCCATCTTTGGCCCTTATGATCCTAACTTTGACGGTCCTCGACCCTTCGACATCGACGAGAATGATCGGGTTGCTGTGGATGGGTTTGACTTTGATATTGAATTCAAGTATGGTAAGTCTCCAACGCTCAGAGAACTTCTGCGTCAATTCCGCGGGCTTAACCAACGGCAACAGACAACCAAGCACCCTACATTAGGATGGTGGATGTTCTCCGGACTCTGAATCCCAGCTACTACATATCCGTGGCTCCCCAATGTCCTACCGGTGACGGATACTTTCAGCTGAAAGAACTTGTCTACGGCGCCCGCTTCGACGCGTTCTTCGTTCAGTTCTACAACAACCCAGGCTGCCAGGCCTCCGATAATATCACTTCTCTCTACGATACATGGTCGACTGTTCTTTCGGAGACAGGCCACAACGGCGAAGCTGAGTTGTTCGTAGGCATATTGTCAGATCCCCTGGCAGGCGGTAGCGGCTATGTCGATTATGCTGCGCTGAGATACATGGTCTGCCAGCTCAAGGAAAAGCCTCGATTTGGAGGTCTATCCATCTGGGACGCGACCAGGGGTGGTTCAAACAGTGATATCGACGGCAACAACTTCAACGACTACGCGGCGCGTGCGTTAAAGTTTGACTGCGACTCGGTGATCGCCCCAACACCAAGCTTCACGAGCCGCATCACTTCAGCGGCAGCGGTTACCTCGTACGCTACCTGCTCTTCTCCGACCCGTGGAGATTTCGCTAATGCTTTCCCTTGTAGTTCCGTCGAGCTAGTGACTAGCACCATGTTCGCTACGATCTCCCACACCACGACCTCTTGCGGATCCGAGAACTGTGAAACCCAAGTCTTTGCAGAAACAATGCCCCTGTACACGGCTGTCTGTCCTGGCAAGAACGGCATCTTCTTCCATCTCCCCAGTCGTGCATCC